CTCCAGCAACGTCACATGAACTTCTACTGAAAGTGAGAAACAATCCTTTGCTCTTAAAACCACTGAAGGTTTGTTTTTTAAGATTTTATTTATTTATTTGACAGAGAGAGGGAGAGTACAAACAGGGGAGCAGCAGGCAGAGGAGGAAGCAGGCTCCCCACTGAGCCAGGAGCCTGACACAGGGCTCGATCCCAGGACCTGAGATCATGACCTGAGCTGAAGGCAGACGCTTCACCCACTGAGCCTCCAGGCGCCCCTAAAACCACTGAGACTCAGGTGCTCTTTGCTACTGCAGCATGGTCTCGCTCATCCTGACTGAAACGACTGCTGAATTTGTTTACAGTGAGTTTTGCTACACAAAAGCTTTTCATTATTTTCTCACTGTTAATTATGCACATATTTTCATTTATAATTTCTGGGCCACCAATCTTATCTGGAAAGATCTCACCCATGCCAAATTAGACATGTTTATAACTCTCATCCTCGGATCTAACCCAAATTTTAATTAATTAATCCAGTGCAGTACTTGGACCTCTCCATACCTCCCTCCTACTGTTCCCCTGCTATCCTGTTCAGAAAACCAATAGGATTGGCCTTTTTTAGTGGAAAACACAGTTGATTGGATGTAATAAGCTTTTCACTTAGTAAAAGGGTCTAAAGGAATCAGTCTAAGAAAAAGAGAGTCCCCAGTGTCTCCTGACAGCCTAGCTCATGTCTGGTCTGCATCCTCAGGGGGCTAGATGTCCATAAATTGTATTTTCTTATCTTCCCCTCTTAAAATTCATCATTTATTGTTCGTTTCTCGGAAAGGGCTTTCTAGTCACATACCTCAACTAAAAAAGTTCATTCTTAGCAGGAAAGAACCACTTCAGGATATGTGTGTTATACTACCTTGCTGTCAGGGCTGTGGATAGGACCTTAGGTCTCTTATCATTTCTGTGCCTCCCTCCCTCCCCAGGTCTGTCAAAAAGGATCAAGTGTACATGTAAAAATATATAGTGCAATTATATAGCAGAAGCTATGAAATAATCATGGTCTAGAGGTTAGCGTTTCCACTCACCTTGTTATAAATGGCGGCAAGAGCCTGATCTCAGAGTTGCTGGAGGAGGGGAAGACCTGATGTATGCCGGAAGAGTGGAAAGCAGTCGTCCATTCTGTGTTCCTACGTAAAAAACAACATTCCGTTCATAGAACTTGTGAGGATAGAAAAGTGCTGAAGTGTGTTCTGATGGGACCAGAGTGGCTCATAGTGTGGGACCTGTCACTGTCCTTATTTACACCCCACTTCATAAAGGAGACTCTTGAATAGGATAAGAAACTTCGGCTTGTCTGGATTCTGTTTGGCAAGAAGGAAGCTATGTGAAGGGGGTTCCTTAGTGGCTTTTAGAAGCAGCATTTGATAATAAAGGGGACTTTGCACTTAATTCTTACAAATATGCCTTCTATCGTTCATCCTCTCTCACCAGAAGCAAGGGAGTACAGTGGCATTTTCACTGAAAAGGTGACTTTTTTGGGGTGAAGTCAAATTACTGAGTTTATAGAGCTGTTGGCAAACATTGTGAAAATCTGTTCCCTTTGCTCTACAGATGAGAAGCAGAACCGCCAGCTTCGGGCATCCAGCACTTGCAGACATTTTTGAGGGAGGAAGGACCTTCCAAAAGACAGGAAGAGTCAAGATTGGCTGTGTGCCTTTGGTCTCCAATGAGTTGTCTATGGCCTTGCAGGTCGATGAGGTCTTGAAGCAAGATTTCAGAACCAGAGTCTGTGGGAAAAGCCAGTGGGGTCAAATCCTCCACCCCATCCGAGCTCCTCTTCCCACGGGCAGGGCGGAGGTGGCTGCCGACTTCTCAAACCAAAACATCACAAACCAGCATTTCAAGGCTGGTTTTGTGGAAATCTAACCTCAAAGTCTCCTGGTTTTTTTCCTCCAAGCGCCGGATTGTCCTGTGGACATCTTGAGCTGAGTGGTGTTGCTGGAGCAAGTGGGGTCAGCTATCCCAATCGTCTTTGACAGGTCGGGTGGCAAGACAGATTACCCACTTTGGCATTGGATTTTGCCCGAAGTGAAGCTATGGTTGAGGGCTCAGGAGTCTGTCCTATTTTAGGAAGGCTCATGGCTTCCTCTGGTTATCAGTGCTCACAACATCACACTCAGGTTATCTGGGAGAAGCCAGCTGGGGGCAGAGGGGGCAGAGTGTGAAGTGAGGAAATGCTGTCCCCAGATGTAGACAGCCCCGTGGGGCAGCAGCTCATCACTTGCTGGGGCGGGCTTCCTGTCAGAGCAGGAAGAGGTAATCATGATAGCCTTGAGTGGGCAGGACACAGTTTCCATCTGGTGAGAGCTGCCCGGGACATGCGAAGCCTTTGAAAGGCTATGAACTTCACAACACCTTCAAGGACGCGCTTGCCATTGGGACAACCAACGTTGAGCGTTGACATATTTGGAAGACTTTGGATTCTTAAAAAAATTGGATAAGTCTGTTGAAATAAAGTATTGTGTTTCCAAAAATACTGTAGAAGAAAACTTTTGCCCCAATTTGTAAAATTATACTTTATTGCTAAAACAGCCTGCGGGCACAAGTACAAATGAAATGACATTAATTAAAATACAGAAAAACAGCAGAAAGGATCGTTTTATAATGTACGTTCAAAAGAACAGGGAAAATAAATGGAAATATGTGTATTTCCAGCACTAGGGAGAACAAGTTTGGAAAGGTTGGGGTGCTGTGCCCCCAGGCTCATTAGAATGAAGCCTGCGCAGCACACGTGCCGTGGCCTCCTGTGACAGCCATCCTGCCTTACTTTGTCAAAATGCCATTTAGGAGGTGAAAGCAAGTTTGGCTCACTGATCTCAAATGTCATAAGGAAGCAGTAGGAACTGGTTTCCCCCTTGGCTTTGTAGCACCCACATCAGAGTGGCTCCTCTCTGGTCAGTCAGCTCTGGAAGCCACATTAGACAATGATGTTGGTCATGTGGACGCCATCCCAGTCTCTCCCCACCCCAGGTGTGCATGACAACAAGGAGTCCCCAGGACTGCAAACTGTCCCGTGGCCTCTGGTTCTGCATCAGGGGGAATTTCCAGGTGATCCCCTGACTGAGGGGAGCACGGGGTTGAGTCCTGGGCACTGACAATGTCTTCGAGAGGAGCACCCCAATGGTCTTTGCATGGGGGACCTCACGGGGAGTCTGGCAGAGGGGAAGAAGAAGGCTAAGCTAAACCTGTCCATGGAGAAAATCTCTCATGGCAGAGCTATTGGAGAAGGGAGCAGACCACGGGAGGAGACACAGGAGCACAGGGTCGTAGGATGCTTGCCCCCTGGGGTGGTGAGACATGGAAAGAGCAGGGTTCCAGAAGCCCCTAACCCACCGTGCACTCCTGCCCGGCTCCTGGGGGGAGGACATCCTGGACTGTGCTTCTGCCTGAAATCCCCAGTGTTCCAGGGCTGGTGAACAACACCAAGGGGGGCATGCGACCTGCTCGGAAGGCACTTCTGGAGCTAGTTTCAGGCTCTGGTTTCCCTGAAAGGGTCTCCAGGGAGAGAGCAGAGAAGGAGAGTCCCTCCTGCCTTGTGCTTGGAATAGAGACACTAACATCTTCACGGCTGCATTCTTCCTCTGCTCCCACCGTGGCCCCAGTCAGCAAGCGAAGATGGGAGACTTTCCTGTCAGGGCTGGCCCCAAGCAAGGTCTCACCCACCACCCAGGGTGGGGGGCTGTGGGGCAGCGAGGGAAGTCAGAGAGAGAAGCAGTCTTCCGTTGACAGGCTCCTTAGTCATCCCCCTGAAAGCATTCTTCTGTGCAGCCGCATCCAGGCCAGATGTCCAAGAGCCCCACGTTTGGTCTCCTCCGAGGGCTGTGGAAGCCAGCCACGGATGTGTGTGCGTGTGTGTGTGTGCATGTGAGAGAGAGAGCGCGCACACATGCGTGGACAGAGGTGGTAGGAGGAGAGAGAAGTTAGAGCCGCCAGGACTGAGGCTCGGGACAAGACTCAGGACTCAGTTGGAGGATTTTCATACCAAATAAAGAAGAAAATGAGAAAGCAGAAAGGAAAGATGATGTGTATCTCCAGACAGCTCTCAAGGACGTCTAACTGCAGATTAGACACACACGCACAGATATATAGGAAATTGTGATCAATGCTTGTGTTTTTAATTTGTTTAATCTCTTGAAAATTCCAACATGTTACACTTGTGCAAAAGAAACAGCCCAGCGCCAAGCACTGCGGGAGCCGCTCCCCTGTACAGAAACCAGGGGTTCTGGGCTGGGCTGTGGGCACGGCTGGGGTGTCTCCGCCTGGAAAGGCCATTGCTGAAAGCTGACCTGTGGGAGGGCGACCCCTGCCCGGAGGGAGGCTTCCTCCAAAGCTGAGCCTGGGCTCCTCCCCGGAGACGCTTCCCCAGCGAGGCACCGTGGCTGGTCTTCAGCCTTGGGTATGAGCTCGTCCATCACTAACTAACTAACTTGAACGCCACGGGACCCACCTGCGAACTCGTGCGGAGTCAGATGGGGACGTTTCAGGAGCGCCGCACAGCATCCCAGGGCCAGCTCTCCCCGTCAGCTCCACGGTTGCTGGGGACTGGTCTCCCCCATGCTCCTCCCCGTCCCCGTCCTGGTCTCATTTACCACTCAGGACCGCATCCATGTCTGTACCTGTCCTCGCCATAGCCAGCCTGCAGCCCCGCACCTGTACCACAGGTGAGCCTATCTCTGCAGCCGTCCCTGGAACCTGGGGAAAAGGAGAACGCAGTGAAAACAGACTTTCTCCTCTCACATCCCGGTTAGCACGACCTGCTTCCGTAGTGGGACTAATACCGCGTTTATACTTCTAAGCCTTGTTTTGTTTTGTCTTTTTCATTTGAGTTTATACCATGGAAGCATTTTCCAACATCAGGAAACATCCTGCCCGCACGGTGTTTGTTCACGTAACTCCTCCGAGTACAGGAAAGCACCTGCTGAGGGGATGCATCGCAGACTGTGCAGCGATGCGGAGCACGTGATGGACACCTTCGTGCCGGAAGCTTCTCTCCACTTAGAGCCCAGGGCTCCGGACATGCACCTGAGGTATGAAGTCAGATGTCCTAAGCCTCCTTAGGACAAGTTGCTTCCGGGAAGGTTCTCCTGTGGGCGTGCCGGTGGCCCCGCTGTCCGTGCGCGTGAGGGCAGACAAGGGAGCACAGGAGCCCCCGCGGGATCTCAGTCCCCCGCTCCGGAGCGCCACTCCAGTAAGGGCTGCGGAAGGCAGGACGCTGTCCCTTCGCTGGACATGCTCCATTATTTAGGTCGCATTTGCTGTCCCTGGGGAATTCACTCAAGTCATAAAAATTTCCACAGGAACTGTTGACTTCAGGTGTGTCAAACAGCCCGTAAACAATAGAAAACCCGGTAATAAAGTCCCCCAGTGCAGGTTTCTCTTGAGGCTCAACTGGGAACTATCAGAATCCTTCCGCGTGAGTGATACTTGAGTAACAATGTTGCTGTCGTACTAAATTAGCCTTGGATTATCCAGCTCAAAATGCCTCATTCTGTGTTTCCAGCTGTTTTTCTTCTGTTCCATCCGTAGGAGAACTCACTCAGATTTTGAGAGCTTTCAATTGCGTAAAATTGGCAAAGCCCAGGTGCGCAGAGCTTCGGTTAAAGATACAGTATTAAACCGGTCCCCATAGACGGGCCAAGCTGAGGGCCGCGGCGGAGGTAGGACAGCTCCCAACCGAGCCCACCCAGCTGCGGGCTGGCAGGCCGGCCTCCAAGGCTGAGCCCTGGGCAGGAGGGACTAGAGGCTCCATCGTAGGAAGTCTACAGAGGGTTCAGCAGAACGTCCCAGAGACAGGAAAACTGGGCCAAGGCTCCTGCCCAGGGAACCGGGCGCCAGATCTTGTGACAGTTTCTCGTGGAGGAGCCCAGTATGGAGGAAGGCATCGGATGGTCATGAAGACAGGATTCCTTCATTCGTCTCTCTGGGCCTAACTAACACAGGAGCCTGGGGCGGCCAGAGGCAGAGAGCTGAGATCCCGGCCCTCACTCAGGGTAGTGCCCGCGGCCAGCAAGCCCAGAGCGCCCCGGTGCGCAGTGGGACGGCCTCCTGGCCGCTGGGACTGGACAGGCACCATCCGCAGGGCTGGCTCCCTGCTGGGCCTTCTGTCCTTCTCCAGACGAGGTTGCTTCCCCACGGTTCCGTAGGTCCCCCTCTTGCTGTCACCCCATCCTTGGGAAACAGGGACCGGGGCCTCTGACGCGCTGGAGTAAGACGCTCGCTGGAGACACGCTCGGCGGCGGGGTCCCATAGACCTGGCGCTGCCCCGAGAGCCAAAAGCTGGTCCTGGGGCTTCTGGTTCCCACGCAGTCGGGTGCATCATGCCCGAACTTCGGCCTCAACTGAGACTACTTCCTCTCCGCTTGGGAGCATGTGGGATGACAGTCAACGACAGAGGAACATCGGGGGCTGATAAAATGCGATGGAATGAACAAAATGAGAGATAATCGATGCGGGCCACGTGGCGGTGGCCGTGGACAAGGCCCTGGACCCTGGAGCCCAGAACCCCGCCGGCCTGCGCCTCACGGCTGTCACTCCCTAGCAAGATGTGATTCCTGCCTGGAGGAGGTGAGTGTCTGTGCCCGCAGCCAGAGCAACGGGAGAGAGCGACCTCACACGGGGCGCGGTGCCTCTGGGGGGCCCCTCCTCGGACCTCCCCATGCAGGAGGTCAGTCCCGCTGGGCCCTGCTTCTTTTTCCATGGCGAAGCCCAGAGGGGGTGGGGGGACCTGTCCAAGGACTCAGCGCCTCTGGCCCTCGGCTCCCACCTGCCCTCTCCGGACCACACAGGGTCACGGAGCTCATTCCTCATCACTGGTAAGTCCACATGGCTCTGTTGTGACCCAGCTCCAATAAGGTTTGCTTTGCATAATTGTATCTTTTTTTTTAAATTTTGGACAAATACTCAAGTATTTGAGGGGAAGGCAACCAAACCAGGCGTTGTGTTTTTGAACACTTGGAAGACAAGGGCACACTCACCTGCCAACACAAGGAAACTTTGTCAGAACCTGAGAGCTGAATGTTGTGTGTAGTTACGGGACCTGGTTTGATTTTACTCGCAAGGCGTCTTATGATAACAGAAACCGTACAAACGGAGCTCACGTCCCAGCTGAATTTAGTTGTTTGGTGGGTGAGCGGAAAGCGAGTTGGCCGCTCCGTGCCCTGGCTCCCTTCCCTCCCAGCTCCCGGAGGCCAGCACGGATGCCCCGCTCCCGGCTCCCTGCCTGCCTGGGTCCTGCTCTGTGGCGCAGCCCCTCTGGCCTCCTGGATTCCACTTCAGCCCCGGCTCCCCACTCCCTGAGCCGAGGCCGAGCCCCCTCCTGGAATCCCAATTCCTTGCCGCATCCGCCCGCTCCTGGAACAGGTCAGGCCTCACCTTCACGCAAGAAAGCGTGATAAACCATGAAGGAATGGGTAACGTGTGCTTGTCAAATGAGAACTTTATCACCGGCCATCTTATTTTCTCTGGAATTACGGCGTTTAATACTCGCGATATTTATGTGCACGTCGTCCAAGTGCATTCACCTACCCTGATGGACTTGCCTGGAACCTCACTCAAATTAACGCGAGTGTTTGTGAAGCAGAGAGACCCACATAGTACACGCTGTCAGGCCTTGACTCCCGCGGTGCCTCGCAGGTGATGGGCTCCAGGGCTGTTTCACTTGTAGACCAAACCCAGTCAGATTTGCTGGACAAGGCGCCCATGGTGCTGGCCTCGTGGAGAAGCTATGCTCTGTTCTGACAAGTCAGTGGCCACATCGCACGTCTTACTTGCAGGAACAGGAGGGAATGGGGCACAGGGGCCAAGTCTGAGAGTCTGCGGGCCTGGAGCATCACCGTCCACACTGGGGCCAGTGCCAGGAGGTGCTCAGGCCCCAGCCCCGACCCCACATCCTGGCACAACCCAGGAGCCCCGCGCCCACACTGGGATGGGAGGGGCCCCAAGATGGACCAGCCACCCAGATGCTACTCAGCCAACACTTAAGTCAGACTGGAAAAAGAAAAAAAAAAAGAGAGAGAGAGAGAGGGAGAGAGAGAGAGACCAGTGGAGAGCAGGGGCCCACAGGCCGCTCGTTGCTGGTGGATGGTTTCTGGAGCTGGCAGTGAGAGGCCCTGTGGCGGAGGGTCTCAGCCCGGGCCAGGCAGCCCGGCGCGGTGGTGGCCCAGTCACCGCTTTTCATGTGTGCACATGTGTTGCGGCACATGTGTGTGCCTCTGGGCTGGGGCCAAAGCCAGACGACAGGGGCAATGGATGCAGAACTGGGGCAGGCAGTGCGTGGTGCCCCGCCTGCATGGGCCTGGTGGATGAGCCGTGGCCCCACGCGGCCCCGGACACAGTGATTGGTGCCGGGGCTTGGCCTTCAAACCCTGGCCGAGGGGCTCACCCTAGCGAGGGGCGCAGGAGCCCTGCCGTCCCATGGCGGCTGCGCGCCACGGTCGGCTGTGCAGTAAGCAGACAGGAATCCCGGCGACAGCCAGCCGCGCTCCCTGATGAAAACCCTCTCCCTCCGCTTCTGCAAAGGTAATGAGGAAGTAATGAGGCTTGACCAGAATGTTCTCAGCCTTGATCCCCCTCCCCAAAGGTTCCCAGAGGATGTGCAGTGGGATGCTGGGCTTCTCTAAGAGCGGGCTGCTGGCCGGCTGGAGGAGGTGAGCTGCTGGGCCGCTGGGCCGGACTTCGGACTTCGAGGGGGCTGGAGTGAGAAGTTCAGATAAACCCACCCCCGACACCCCCACCCTGCCCCCACCCCGGCTGTCGGCCAGAATAAGACAATCTGACGCTGTGCAGGCCCCGTGGAGCTGCTGACTGTTTGTTTTGTCACTTGACGGATGTGGAGCCCTGACCTTTCCAGGCTACCTCGTCTCCACCGGCCCCTTCACACACACCCCCTCGTTTGCACGTTTGCCACATTCTACTGTGCGAATAGTCAAAACCAAAAAAGGTAGGAAGAGGGCTGTTTGAGATCATTAGCTTAATTTGAGCTGAAAGGTCTTTGTTGTAAGTTGGAGAGGGGAGGGACCTAGGGGCCTTCGCAAAGTGTTTTGCTGGCAAGCTTGTTGAGATATGATTGCCTTTGTTGTGATAATCTGAAATTAATTTGCACTTGAACCCATCTTTCTTCTGGGCTCCCTTTAAACACTGTTGTAATTAAGCGCCCTGCATGGAATTGAGCTGGCCCCGCGATGACAAAGCCAGGGCTGGAATTCCCCAGGTGCGGGCGGCTTTCTTCACTTAACTCACAAGGTAATAAAACAAAATGCTCCCTCGCACGTGCTGAGGAGCCAGGTACTTGCCGGAGGGGAACAGTGATAACCGATGTACCGCCACACATCTCACTGGCTGCTTTCTCAGGGGGTCAGTCTCTCTCTTTTAAAGTCGTGTTAGACTTCTGCTGCTATTAGTTGATTTGTACCTGGAACGTTATAAAAAAGTGAAGATGGGATGTTTTGTTCTATCTCAGCCGCGCCACATCTGAGCAGCCATTTTCTCAGATTCTCTTGGACACGCTGAAGGCTCCCTCCCCATCTGCACGGCCGATCTGAGCCGAACACCTTCCTGGTTCCCAGTGTGAGAGGGGATATCCTTATCAGCATTCTCTTAGTTTTAACCCAGATTAGTGTTTTTGGTGAGGAATCTCATTAACTCCCGCAGGCCCAACTCTGTCTGTGATTGCCTTTGGAATTGTAATGGACTAAGGCCAGCGGGGCCTTTCCCCCCGGGCACACATTCCTCAAACCAGCCTTGAGCTCAGAATAACTACACAGTCCTCCCAGGGAAGGGTCCTTCTGGGGGCTCCAGGCTCCCGCCACAACTCTGGCTGCACTGGCACTGGAACCTGGGGGAGGTGGTCTGCCTGCCCCCTCCCCTCCCCTGCCCCAGTCCTCCCTCTGCCCCTCAACTCTTCCCCCTCCTCCCTCCTGCCCCCTCTCTGTCCCGCTCTTCCCCACCCCGACCCTCCCCCTGCCCCCGCCCCTTCCCCTGTTTGCCCCACTGCCATCCCACAGCTGCTTCTTGGGGACTCCTCTGAAAAACAGCCTTTAAATTATCTTATCCTAGTGCTCCGGAAGAAAGCGCGGTTTCATTGTCCCAGGAAGCAAAGGCCGAGAAGGTGAGACAGGCAGGCCTCCGTGAAGAAAGTTCCTTAGCTCCAAACCATCCTTCAGGTGTTTCGTGAATGATTCACACAGGATAGCTGGCTTATTTCAGAACTAAAACCCTCAAGGGTCAAAACTCATGGTTATTGGAAAAACAAGATGTCATCCAAATGCCAGTTTATTCCTGCAGCACATGGGGGAACATGTTGACGGTGGATTTCTATGCCCGCTCTCAGGTGTTAGCAATTTTATTTTGGAAAAATACAAGTGAATAATTGGAAACAGTATTGTTTTTTTAAAGGTTTTATTTATTTGACAGACAGAGACCACAAGTAGGCAGAGAGGCAGGCGGAGAGAGAGGAGGAAGCAGGCTCCCTGCTGAGCAGAGAGCCCGATGCGGGGCTCGATCCCAGGACCCTGAGATCATGACCTGAGCAGAAGGCAGAGGCTTTAACCCACTGAGCCCCCAGGCGCCCCAACAGTATCATTTTTAATAAACAGACAGATACGT